AGTCTTTTCAAAACGCTCAAAGGACATAACCTTGCAAATGAGGTCGTGTCCATTGCCATTCCGGATGAGGCAACTCCGGGAACCTGTACAAGTCCTGATCTCCGCCAGTTCGTCAGTGCTTCAGTAAGTTCATATTGCTATGATAACGCGGCTGTTACTGCTTTTGCTGAATCATGGTTATTATTCTCATTCTAATTATTATTTTACTATACTTCCATTATTAGTATTATTCATATTGTAATTTCTTTATCATTATGCTAGTTTTGTGCCAGGCTGCTGAGCTGGTATGGGGAAGAGCCACTTGGTTCAGAAAGTGTTTGGTACAACCGGAGGCCCAAAGACCAAAATATACCAAAATTGGGCTTGAAGACTACACAGATTGTGGCGCAGGCCTTGGAAAGTTCACAGAAGCGGCAAACCTTAAAAACGTCACGACCTGAAATTCTAGAAGCAAATGGCGTGGCTGATGATGGCCGATGCTGCTGCGAAGCGAATTTAACCGAAATTTAACGGTAGTAATGGTGATGTTTATCATTAGCAAATCGAACAATCACCGCTGGCGAAATTGTTGCAAACCGAAAGGCTCTCCACCACAAAGGGAGTGGTGATCCTAAAGCCTAGCCGGGTGGATTTGTGAGCTTGAAGCGGAGTGGCACGCAATGGACGTCAACGAGCGCGGCAAGCTGGAAAGCTGTGGTTGGTTCCCCGCTGCTTCCAACACCTGCACGCTTCGGTTGATTGTACCACTATTCCAGAACGTGCAGGGAATGTGTGAGTGAGCGATCAGATTCCAGCAATGCCGCAGCATCTAGCGTTTGCCCCAAGCTCGCGTGTTTTTGATCGGGCATGTCTTGAGCTCGGGGCGCTTCCTCGCTATCTAAGGATCCCAAAGAGCGCGTTGTCAATTGGGGCAAAGACTCAGAGAACCGGGCTCGGTCCTCGTGCTCTTATTGGAAAGCCCATTACAAAGATGGCATTTGTCGTTGTCCTTTCCGAGACACTCCGGGCAATGCCAGCCAGTATGACTTGGGACTAAGCCGCTTATGTGGAGACGGAGCCATGTTTGTTCGAGATTTCGATCCTGGCCATCTTAATTCAATACATCCAGGTGTTGAGATGTGGGGTGGTCAGTGCCAGTGTCTGAAGACTTGGCATGATCGAGAGAACGAGCAGTACACAGTAGACGAAGATTCAGCCATGGGGTTGACCGCGGTGGAATTTTGCTCGACACTATTTCATCAGTTCGACAAAGAGTTCAATCTATCGGGAGAGGCATGGACTGAATCGAACCTCCGCCATAAAGAGCAATGGATTGCAAACGAGGTGAGGCCCAAGCTGAATGAAAGCATATGTGCGCAAAAGCTCAAAGATAGTCGCAAGATAGAACAGATCCTCCGACATGCGAGCCACTCCTTCAAACATGTGTGTCAGCACGAGTGCGACAAACTGGTTGGCGAGATTCGCGAGAAAAACATGGCCATAGCGCGCTTTGGAGTAGAGCGGTTCGGCTCATACGGTGCTGCATGTTCGCGCCTTGTGGTTAGAAACGTGGAGTCGCATCTTCTTGGTTGTTGTGGCAACAGCTGTGGCTGGAATGGAAAACTGTGAGCCTTGGCTGAATCTGCTGTTGAACAAGGTCGAATCTCAATTGCCACAAGGCAGCCCAATAGCAAATGTCCAAAGCAACGTTGGCAAATGATCGAGCAATAGTTAACACAGAAGCTGGTAGACAGTCGTGCAAGTCATGGCTTGGTCGCCATTTGAGGCGTGAGATGGCCCTTTTTCACCGAGCTCCAGCAGGCAGAATGGAAAGAAGAGTGCTGCGTGGAAGAGCATTTCTTGAACCTGGATAGTTGTTCAGGTCAGGGCTGATCTTCATCCGGCAACCCTAGGTATTTTGTTTTAATGAATTTCCTGCCAAGTACCAAGAGGAACCTGTAAGCCATTGCGCGTTCCAATCATATTCAACCCTTCACCCGTCGCTCCTCGATTTCGAAAGCCCCAGTCATAGACCAAGCCAGCTCACAACGTCAAGACTTGCCAGAAGCCCTGCATCTTAAGGAAAGGCTCCGAGCGCGAGTTCATGTGCCTGAGCGTGTTGGCAAACAACAAGCAGAAGGATTCGTTATTGTTGTCAGTATGATTACGGTATTGCTTTACACTTTGTTACTATTCTTATTGCTATTGCTATAAAAGCATACTGTTACTGTCATTATGCTGCGCCTGGGTAACATGAGACCCTGGCTGGTGAGGCCCTAACCGCTGTTCTAGACTGGGCCCCAAGATCCAGGCCTTAAATCTGACATGAGAACCCCAGAACCTTGAATCACACTCTTGGTAAGCCCTGCGTTCCAACGTATAAACGAGCCCTTGACACCCTAGCAGAGAGGAATATGCGGACGTCGATTTGCCAGCAGACGATGAAGCTGAGTCATTGTTTGTCGGAGATTCTGGGCTGCAAGCTTGGAGTACCTGTCAACCACCAGGGCTATGGCTAGTTTTTGCGTAATAGCCGTAACTTCGGTAAGCGGGGTATCTTCGCAGTTCCCTTGCAGGTGAGAAGTTGGCCTTCAATGTTGAATTTTTTGTGGAAAAGACAGCCTAGGAAGATTCGGCTTTGGTGTGGACAAAAGAAGGTGTCCAGTCCTCACTTGGTGAGCCTGGCTGGGGCAAGGAAGGCCAGGAGATTCACGACGGCTTCCTTCGGGTGCAGCCTCTTTCTGTAGAGGAAGGCTTGAACCTGGGGTACTGGAAGATCAGCAAAAGGTCTCTGATGATGCCTGGACAAGAGGCAAGAGGAGCCCACAACGCACCGTCGTTTCTGCAAAACCCGGAGCAGGCGGACTGTGGAGGTGACCACACGATGCTTACCTGTGGGCAAGCACTACAGAAGTCTTTCGTGGAAAGTTGCAAACATGCGGAGGGCTGGAGGATTTCAATAGGAGTAACGAGTTGCCAGGGAGCACCGTTGATTGCCAAAAGTGCAGCCGATTGCGCGAAGAAAACCACACCAACTTTCTTCAGGTTCAAGACCTCGCAAGACAAGACGAGCCCCATCGATTGCTTTAAGCTCGAATGTCGGGCGAGAATTCGGAAAGGTCTTTGCAACGGAATGAAAACAATTAAGGAGTCGGGGGTAACCGACTTCCTCCATGCCGCGTATGTACATGAATCTGTCTGTGGCTCACGCTGAAAATGATCCTGAACTAGAGACGCCAGGAACCAATATCGTGGAAAATGGTCTTGAAGTCACGTTAGCCAGCCATGCGCAATGCTAGGTCTGCTAGGTTTGAGGCAGCGCATCGCCTGCTGAGGTAATTATCGTCGATAAGGGCCCTTAGCATCTATTGAGGCTCTCTAAAGTGTGCAGTACAATACAGTGTTTGGAGTCTGCAAGTCATTGACATTGCCCTGCATCCCTGCAATCTAGGTCACAGCTGCTGCTCGCTTCCCACAAAGCATCGTGCAGATTGTGGCAGTACCCTTCTGTATGGCTCCAGGCTACAGACTAGTTGCCATGCTTAGCTTCGCCACTGTTGTTTGCTATTCCATTTGTCAGCCATGCCTGTCCCTTCGAGAAGCGCAGTTTCCCGAGCAAGAGACAGATGAGCACATGCCAAGTTGTGATGTTCAAGCCCGCCCGATGCTAAGCTGCGCTAGCAAAAGCTAAAGGGCTTCAGTGAATTTATGGCATGATTTCTTGAAAATTGTTGTTTACGCTTTAGTGGTGCCAGGTGCAGCTGTGTTTCGCAACCCGCACACAGACATGGCGTTGTTAGGGTACTTTTGCCGCGGCTTCAGGAGCGATCCAGCGAAGTTCGATGCTATATCGCTCACTTGGCCCAGACCTCGCTTCAGCATCCTGGACTCACGCGAGTTCTTCGTATCCCCGGACCGAAGCTGTGATACTTTTCTATCAGGAATAAACCTGCGCAAGGTGCCGAAGACAACAGCTGCCAAACAATTGCAGGCCAAGCAGCGCTTCAAGGTGAAAGCTGCTCAAGATGGATTATCCGCGGCCAGGCATCAAAATATGGCCTACATGAAGGATCAGTTGGCCCAGATGATGGCGCAAAGCGGCTATGGAGAAGCACCAGCAGTTGAGCTACACATGTTCCCGCAAAGCCTTGAAGATCCGAACTCAAACTGGTCTGTCTTGGTCATTCCAAAAGTTCCCGAGATCTTTGGCAAGACGCTTTTTCTGTGTCATGGGGCGCAGGAGACTGAAAAGCGCTGTCTGGCCGAGTTGCCGTTTGAACCTTTGTCGCTTCCATGTCATCTTGTGCAAGCCGTGGTTGGCTGGGATCTTATGTTGGGTCCCTTGAGATCTTCACCTCACAGGTTGGTCTTGGCTGTTCTAGTTTTACTGGTGGTTGGTCTTGCGATCCTCTGCTATCACCTGGTCCTTGACCTATCCAAGCTGTTGCGATTGTTTTTCTCGAAGCCAGCAGACACTGACCGTACCCCAATGCAGAACATGGAGGGACTTCTAGCAGAGGCTCTTCCACAGACCTATAAGCTTGTCGGCCGCACCAATGTCTATGCGCAGGCAGGCGTTGCCAATCTTCTGCAGCCAGGAGAGCCTCTTGACCCCCACAGCGGGCATCGTGAGGTCGTGGTGGTGGAGGAGAAGCGTGCCCCTGCAATAATTGATGCGGGAAGATCCATGCAGCAGCTGTTGCAAAGGATCTTACAGTGCCGAATGTCTTCAAAGGCAGCTGAGGCGGTGTGGGGGCGGATGAATCATCCACCTGGGTGGATTGTCATGTATGACGGCTCAACCAATCACTACGGCGTAGTGGGACCTGGGGCAGTGAGCCCAGTGCCGTTTCGAGCACACCCAGATCTCATGATTCCGATCGGCTCTGTCTTGCGCCGGCTGCTCATCCTTGCGGGCAGCCACGCTTCAGTGCAGTGGAAGATCCTGACGGTTTTGGCAGGGCATCTAGGCTTGCACGTCGCTGCAACGGTAGCATCTGGTTGCTTTGTGATGCACGTGGTGGTGGTGCAGCAAGTATATCGGACCTTATGGTGGGGAGTGAGCCATGATGACCTCCTGGAGAGGCATGGAAAACGCCTCATTCCGCAAGAGACCTTAGCCCGCTATCACTTCGCAGCAATACTTGCCATGCTTGTCATCGCGCTCGTCATTTCATCCGGCACTTTTGCGTGGGGTGCTCTCGCTGGATACCTGACACTGGCAGCTTCAGCGGGTTTGCATGCTTGGGACTTGAACACTTCTTTGTCGGGCCTTGACAAATGGATGCAGCCGCAACGCAGCAGTGCATTGGCTGTGGAAGATACGCTTCTTCCGACGACAACACAACTGCCTGACAACGTGAGTGCAAAGAGAGTGACTTGGGCCGAGGGGCTCTAGCACCCTATTTGTTCTTGTGAAGTCTTTACTGACCCGCGTGCGTCCAGGAACCAACAATCGTAGATGTGTTTCTTTCCTGTCCCCCTTCCAGGAGCGTCACCTGCTGATCGTTAGCATCTGTGTTAGTGCTACAATCGCAGCAGCATGGTCCATTTTGACAAACACAAGCCTCGACGCTGTACATATGCGTGGTAAGTTGATCGACTACTCCTTCAGCCATGGGCATCTTCTTTACATGGCAGAGTCTGCAAATTTGCACAACACCCTCTTGCTGCATGGTGATGCTGATTCCATGAGCTTTACTTTCCAGACAGATGCCTATACCGCTAGTGTCAGCCTCCAGTATGAGCATCCGCAGCTCGAGGACAATGAAGAGGTGCTCCTCTACTCATGGACAGGAGGAGGGGCTGCCAACACAACTTCATCAGTCCAGGGCGGTGAATATGAACTGTCTCTTCCTCAAGGGCCGTTATACAGTAGGATCATACTGCGTGCAGCGAGCAAACTGCAAGTTGAAGACACTGTGTGACCTGGCAATCCTGGCACTGGTCCTTAGACAAAGATTTAGTGGATGATTTTCGCTGTGTGGAGTTCGGACAGCTAATAGTAGCCCGCTTAGGTATGTTATCCACCTGTTGCGCATCGGAGAGATCATTTCATTTTCATTGGCTGGCAATGTGGATGTAGATGAATGCCCAAACGCCACCTGCAGTGTTGAGTTTCGTGAGCGGCGCCGCTGGAGATACGAAGCAGACCATATGGACTGGCATGTGCCAAGAATGCTTGGGAGTTTGACTCTGGACGTGGAGCTGCGACCAACGTCTTTTGCGCCGCTTTTGGCAGTTGCTGCACAACAGCCACCAATCTCGAACCTGGTCAACGTGGCTCCAGACTGCCAGTGCGGTAAGGAGCGAGGGGGATTTGGGAACGATTGCTTTTATGAGCAGCCAGTCGTGCTGCGGACGACGCAGCTCTGTGTCTTCTTGCGTAGTGTACCTGAAGTCAGAGATACGTTGATGCTGGATCAAAGCGATGGTAGTCTCGCAGGCAAGGGCTCGGATCTTGTGCAGTGGCTTCGGGACGTGAGCGTCAGCGGCAAGTCTGTAGTTCTCTTGTCCGTAGATGAGGACGACGCCCAGTTGGAAACCAGGAGTCCCCTCATGCCTCAAAACCGAACTACACAGACTCAAATTTCGACGCTTTTCCAGATCTCTGTGCCTGCCCAGTCGTTGTTGATGAAGAAGATGCAGCTTCTCGTGGCAGCAACTCAGGATCCCACCGATGCGGAAAAGTCTGCTTTTCCACTGAGACTAGTCTCGCACCCACCTCCTGTCCAGCTCTCTCTTACAGAGCACAATGATGATGATAATTTCATGCTTCCAACATTTACTGCCAACGCAATGCGAGCGAGGTATACGGCTTGTGTGAAAAAGCTTGATCAAGTGCATGGCGAAGTATTGGATGACCGTTTCAAGATTCGTGAAGAGACATTCCAAATGGGAAAGGATTGTTTGGGGGACGACGTGCAGCAGAAGCGATTCTGGGCAGTTCGCAAAGAAGAGCCTGACTGCAAGCCTTGTAGTAGCTACATCTATCCACCTTGGAACGACATGGATGACATGACAGTTACTGGATCCCTTATGAGCTGCATGGCAGCAGCCGTAGAATTAGACGACATCGAGGCCTTACATCGCACGATTCAGCGCTTGCCATACAAAGGAGACATGAAGACGGCCAAATCATGCAGCGTTCTTCAAGACGCAGTGCGCCTGAACCAAAGCAAGATGGTCACTGAGCTTCTGAAGTGGTGGAGCCAAGACTGCGATGGGTGCACAGAAACTCCAGTGGGAGTTGCTGCACTGGAAGGACATGTCAAGATTCTGGACATGCTACTGATGCACGGGGCAAATGTTAATGGCATGGACAGCAAGAACAGAACTGCTTTGTTCCTTGCCAGCCAGCATTGCCACCTCCATGTGTTGCACGCAATTCTTGACAAAAATGTCAGCGTGGATCAGTTAGTGCCTCCTGCAACACCCGGAGCGTCCAGGACTTAGTAGCCGGAGAAAATTCAAAGCCGTGTTTTGGACTTCATCATTCTTGGCTGTTGCAGCCGGTGCCAAGGTGCCCTGTCACACCGTTGCTGGCACTATTCAGTCAGCCCCTGGGCGGTGCTTGTCTATCACACTCGAACATGGTCATGAATGTTGCCCAAACTCTGGTCCAGCACCGTGCCAGCCTCTCCATTCCGGACTGCTTCACTGGAGTTGTATGCTCACTTCCAAGCTTCTTTGTTTGGTATGTTATACAATGATCTGAGAATTGTTCCTCTTGCCCGGCAATTGTCCTTCGTACATTACATGGGTCCTACCGAGAAAACGGATCTGCATTGCATTGTCTTTGGGTGTCACAGAACACAAGGCATCAGACTACATGGAAGCCATGCTAGAACGTTGTAGGCTTCTTGTCCTGGGCGTGCTGTGGCTAAGTCTGCTATGAAGCTGGCAATCTCGTTTGTAATGTCTTTGATTGCATGACCCGCCTTGAACCTGTGAGGAGCACAATGGTTGCCCCAAGCGACAGACTGCCCTCATGAAGGCAGTGGCAAAGTTCAGTATACTGCGATCCCCTCAATAGTGGTTACCCCCCCCCCCCGATTGATCTATCTACTGCGCAGGGCGTGCCCTCAAGAATGGTCTAGGGACAGGTAGTAGTAGTAGTAGTAGTAGTAGTAGTAGTAGTAGTAGTAGTAGCTAGTAGTAGCAGTAGCAGTAGTAGTAGTAGTAGTAGCAGTAGTAGTAGTAGTAGTAGTAGTAGTAGTAGTAGTCGTAGTAGTAGTCGTAGTCGTAGTCGTAGTCGTAGTCGAAGTCGTAGTCAAAGTCGTAGTCGTAGTCGTAGTCGTAGCAGTAGTAGTAGTAGTAGTAGTAGTAGTAGTAGTAGTAGTAGTAGTATAGTAGAAGTAGTAGTAGTAGTAGTAGTAGTAGTAGTGGTAGTGGTAGTGGTAGTG